TGTCTTTCTTTGTCTCTTTTCTTTCTTGAACCTTTCTTAGTCTGTGTGAGAAATATGTCTGTTGGACAGATGGAGAGAGGTTAATAATGGGTTCGGCCATTTGCCTCTGTACCAGATTCAATATAGACTCAGGAGTTCTTGAGATCTGGATATGAGAGTTAGCTCTGTGGAAAAGGAGGATTTTAAGTTTGGTACACTTTGTCCTCTGTCAAGAAGTGGGTACTGGAGAGGCAGCCCATCTTGACATTGATCTGTTTAGCTAGATAGGGGGGGACTCAAAGTTAGGCACTTTGTCCTCTTATTGGAATCAGTGGAGAAGGATTCTCCTATTTTAAAACTGTATATTCCTCCAGCTTTCCATGGTCTCATATTTTTAAAGCATAAGATTTATGACTTGCAATGCACGTTAGCAACTGGGATCTGATGCAAATGTTATAAGAATATATGATTTGTATGCTTGTTATTAATCAACTCCATGAGCCCAATATTTTTTATTTTGGGATTAACATTATATTTGCTGTAAAAGAATTTGTAATCTGAACGTGTGGTTACATTTTAAATGAGCCTGGCATAATTTTTATAAGACCAGGACTATGCCTTAGATTAGAAAAACACTTCTAGGGATAGTTTCATAAGTTCTGTTACCTGGACAGAGTGATGCACCAAACAGCACACTAAATAGTTAAATATGCCATTTCCCACTGAGTGAATGTAGACCCATATAGTTTAACCCCTGCAATACCCTCACAAAGCAATATCTTATTACACTTACAGCGGCCCAACACTGATTTATATTGCTTAATGGCTGTATTATTGATTTTTGCTTGCTACAGGAAATCTATTCTGCGTGTAATTCCTTCTTAATTCGTTGTATCACAATTATTATTGTTATAGGCATCTATGTATAACTATTTAGTGTCAGAGCACCCTCCTTAGATTAGGATGGGGCAGAGAAATTCTAAACAGCCTTGTAAAAGTTAAAGAAAGGTCTGTGAAAAGGGGCTGGTGGGGTGGGGGGGAGCAGTCCCCAAGTCATACCTAAGTGAGGCCCCTAAACATTCTATACAAAGAAATGGAAGGGATTATTATGTGGACCCTTTTTAAAAATAATCTAGCAGGTTACACTGAGGGGAGGCAGTAACATTTTTCCCAGAAAAGGAGGCTATTTATATTCTCAGCAGCCAATCTGTCCTCATGCTGATGGGCACTCAAGAGGTTAAATTGACCATAGACCCAGTGGTGGTTTAAGTGCCACTGTACTAACTCCCCATTTCAGATGATTCAGCTTTAAGTGCATACACCCTCTTGGGTTGTGAAAATTTTTACCACTAATGTATCGCATTTACTGTGTTCTTTTAAAAGTATAAAATTGTACTAAAATATTGAAGGAGATTTGTTTGATTTTTTTTAATCCTTGTTATCACAACTGTAGACTCCAGGTATGTCGGGTGTGAGGTTTTGGTCAGGCTTGCAGTCTAGATCAGTTAATCAGTTAATCATGGACAACGGTGTCTTCTGCTTTTGTTTGACCCTTGGTTATTCAACTCTGAACCGTTAATTCAACGGTAGCCAGATCTTTAACATGGCATATCTTTAAAGATGTTGAATATCTGAGGCCAGGTCTGTGCCACCTGATTGAATACTTGATAACTGTTTATTAGGTTGAACTAGCATAATCTGAGAAATAAAATATCGACGGAGTGCAGATTCTGTGTGTGGACGGTGTAGTCGGCATATATGCAATTGCTAACTAAAAGTTATAAATAAATCTAAGACTATGCACGTTATATGAGGGGACCCCTCCTCTCTAAAACATACAAAGATGTTTACATAAATACATTTAAACATTGGTTGAGAATTATATAATATAATGATAATATAATTGTATACCTTGCAATAATATGTCTGTTACAGGTTTATAATGTGTGGATGCAATGACTATATGTTAATGCATGATTTGAATGCCATTGTTCAAGCTGAAGGTATGAATATATGGACTGTACAACATAACTGACATTTGGAAGGAGTTGTCACTGTGTTCTGTTTTGATTTGAATAATTCTCTCCAAATCAGTAGATGTAGTTTGAAATCCCAGCCTAATAGCTTATTGCATAAAGATTTCATGGACTGTTGTGTACTATGGCAATTATTGCCTCTAAGGATTCGTGGGAGTTGTAATGCAAAGCTTCACTATATCCTTTGTGCCGGGGAGTAATACATTTCAAGGTCTCCAGTTGCCATGGTTTGTTTCACTGTGCAGAGTACATGAATGCAATTAGAAAAAAAATGTATGTCGGAGAAAGGTTTGAGGCATGTTTTATTAAAGACTGAGGTTAAAAATGACACTAGGTGTATGAAGGTTAAAGTATGTTTCATGGATAATCTGAATGGGCAAGAGTTTGTTGAAATGATCTCTGCATTCTAGTTAAAAGCATAAATCCTTGTTATGACTCTGTTTAGCGTGAGAAATTACTTACTTATTTTTTTTAACCTACTTTCTTGGTTGTGATTTAATTTTGGATCCATGAATGTGCTTTTTGCAACGGCAACTCTGCTGGTTGTCCGCTGTGTGTATCCACTACTTTCTTGTTTTCTATTTGAGTGAAAGACAACATGATTCTTGCAGTGATTGTTGTGTAAGAACTCTATGTTTTGTGATGGATAGGTGTGTTATGTGTCCCTGTCCATTGTCTATGACTTTAAATAGTAATAGGCAATATTTGTATGTCATTAATACAAGCTTTAGTTTTTTTAAAACTGGTCAAATGCTGTACAGCCAACATGGAAGATACCATTGCATGCTATCACTCCTGGAGATTTTGGATGATAACAGACTTTGCTGGACAAGCGCTTATTACATCTCACGTTAAAGGGGACCCACATAAACATACTGTAACGGACCGTTTTGCACAAAAGGGGTAAAAACTGTTTAGGCGATCGGCCCCCTTTCCAGAGATGCAGGCACAGTGACTGCAGAACACCAAACACACAAACCGCCAATAAGTGAATGCTGCAAACTCCTGAACGGCATCCAATATAGCACTCCAAATACACGAACAGGAACCATACGAATTGCTGCTACCAGACGAATAGGAAAAGCATCCAAGCGGCTTACACTCCTAGCAATCAGTCTCTATCAGCATTCAGTAAATCCCCCAAAGACGAGACAAGGCTCCGTGTTGAGGGTCAAGCAGTGGTCTGTTTAATGAGGGCTACCTGCCCAGTATTTATGCAGGTCTCCCACCTGGTGGACACTCCCCTAGGGGACCAAATGGGAGACTGTGACAAGGGACAGATAAGCAGACAAATAGGACACACAGTCACAATATATTCCCACAATGCATCCTGGCTTCCTCCCCTCTGCCCTCAGGGAGGTTAATTGCCGGCACACTCCAGCTCCCAGGTGGTCTATTCATTTGTGCGGTTGTTCGGTAGATTGAATCTACTGAACAACCGGCAGAAAAGCACGAATACAGCTTTTCTGCAGGTGAAACAAAGTCTTTTAACATGGGGGCCATAGTACAAAGGCAGCAGGCGAGCAACCAGGCTTCTCCAATGCAATGTGGCAAGATTGGTCTCGTCACACATACATTTAATCAAATTGTGGATCCACATTTCCAAATTGTAAAGTGACTAATCCTGAAAGTGAATCTTACATTGGAAACAGAATGCATGGACAAGAGGAAGCTCCCACCTAATGTTAATATTAATGAGGAAGAACAGCTGCTAGAGCAAATTGGGTAAAGCAGCACATCTGGGTAACACGTTAATTATTAAAAATTGTAATTACCCAGACATAAATTGGGATAGAGGGACTAGTACTTCAGCAATGGAAATTACATTTTTAAATAAGTTAAATGACACCTTCATGTCTCAACTGGTACAAGCACAAACTAGAAAGGATGCTTGTCTGGATCTCATTATAACAAACAATGTTGATCTTTTGACCAACATTCAAATAGAGGAGCATTTTGGAAATAGTGATCACAATATGGTGGGTTTTTTTTTTAATAAACACAAAAAAGCAAAATCATGTGGGGTATACTAAACATATAATTTAAAAAAGCCAATGTCAATAAGATTAGGGTAGTTCTACAACATATCGACTGGCATAAAAACACTGAAGATAAATGGAATATCTTCCAATAAATATTAAAAAGGTACATTCCTCAGTATGTACCATTGGGTAATAAATATAAAATAAAAAAATTTAAGCCAATGTGGCTTAGTAGGGAAGTAAAACAAGAGATCGGATTACAAAGAAAAGGGCTAGATCGGACAAATAAGAGGCACCTTATATAAGATATAAGCTAGCCAATTATGCTTGCAAAAAGGCAATTAAAGTGGCCAACCTAGAAAATGAGAATTTGATAGCCAAAGACAGCAAAACCAACCCCCCACATTTTTTCAAGTACATCAATTCTAAAAAAAAAAATAATAAAAAAAATGAAAGTGTAGGTACACTGGAAACAGGGATGGGTCTGTTAGTTAATGAAAACCAGGAAAAGACGGTAATTTTAAATAACCATCTTCTTCAGTATATATTAATGAGGATCCTATGGCAAGAGATATTCAAATTATTGAGGCAAAAAACTTGCGTAAATATCTTTAATTCGTAGTGTGCATGCATATTAATTTGAAGTGCGTAGTTATAGTGAAATTTAGCTTTCAGCAAGGCAGGAACATGAAGATACACCTGCAAGCTTGCTATAGGTTAAGATGTTAAAATAAGATAAATGATTTTATTAGGATTGGACAATGCTTGTAACGACCACCCCGTTTCCTGCTGTATAAAACCTGTTACACGGCTCATTAAAAGCTCAGAAGTCACTTTGAACCTTACTTTGTCTTATCTCGATCATTGGGGTATCTCACCATATGGTTTGGGGACAAGGGGAAATACAGAGAATTGCAAATTGATACAAAAATGCATGGCAAGGGAAAATTCCTGACAGAGAAAATTCCTCACTATCAATTGGGGGCTCGTCAGGGAATTGAACCCGGGACCTCTCGCAATCAATTGGGGGCTTTTGTCTGGACCCGAAAGAAAATAGTTGGTGAGTACATTTGATGACATTTGACTTTCTGTCCTTTGTCTTTTTTTGTCTTTTGTTACTCCCACCTACATCTCTCTTCGGTGCTGAACTTTAGAGTGGGGTGAGTGCAGGGACAACCCGGCTGTGGTTTCTTCTGTGGCAGTCAGTGTGCTGCGGTCAGGTGAAGTTTCCTGTGCCTCGGGGTCCTGCAGTTGTAGCTGAGGAGTACAATTTCCTCTGGGTCCTTCTGTTGTAGCTGAGGAGTAGAGCCTCATCGGGGTGCTTCAGTAGTAGCTGAGTTGAAATTATCCTTGGGGTCCTGCTGTTTTAGCTGAGGAGTAAACCCATATTATGTAGGTTAGTTAATTTTTTTCCAACATATATCATTTATATGTGTTGATGGATAGATATAGTTGGGAGGGTTTAGAGTAGATAAGGGACAAGGGTGAACCCTCAAATCCTATTTACTATATTCTCTCTGCCTATTTCTCCAGTCTCCTATTTGGTGGGCCTCTAAATTTATACTCTGTAATCACTGTGAACCCTGTTTCTTGGGATACATAGCCCTAACTTGTATATAAGGGATAAGCTCCCTAAACCTGACAAGATAACATTGATGCGTAGGTGGAGGAGAGTGATTAGCAAGATTAAGGTTGCAAGGTAACTGAAGCAGTGCGCTTTTGGTCTGGAATCCTGCCTAGTGCAGGGATTTGGAAAATATGGAACTCTATTAACAATTTGGTGGATGCTATAGATCTTGAATTTAATCACATGAAGAATGTACTGAGTATGTTAGCGGCAGAGCAAGAGCAAATTCGTATAGTTGTCCTACAGAACAGAATGGCCTTAGAATACTTATTCTTACTGGCGTCCAAAGGAGGGGTGTGTCACAAGTTAGGTACATCTTGCTGCGTAAACATTAACAACAATATTGGTAGAATCAATTTTGAATTACACAAATTGAGTGAGGTGCAGGACTATGTTAAGAACACCCATGTAGGTATGACTGATT